AAAAAAAAACTTAAATTTCGGGTTTAAAAATCTTGCAAAAATAAAATATGTTTCTGAAAAGTTATTTGAGGAAAATTAGCAAATTTAAAGTTAATTTAATCTGATTTGAAACATAGTTTATAGTATAAAATTTTGTATACAAGCATTTTCTAACCACGTGGTTTGTTTTTTTCTGACGATTCTTGAATCTATTTAATCACCGCGTATTGACCACCGAACGTGTTCGTTGTTAAGTATCGTGTAGCAGACGATAAATTACTTTAGGGATTTGGGATTTTTTTCTCGCAAGAGAGTGATAACCCTTAAAACACGTGTTTTTTTTTAAGAATAGATTTATCGGTTTGTACATCCATACTTCAAAACTTCTGCATCTATATACATCTATAAAAACAAATCGAAATACTTTTTAAAAACAGTCGGTGTCTTCAGATTGTAATAAGCTTTAAAATATATGATTATTATATAGAGAGTTTTTACTTAATACAATATTTACTAAGAATTATCTCATCGAAATTGAACTTTAAAAGATTTAAAAATCTTTATAAATTATTCAATTTTAAATTGTAAACATTTGTAAAAAATGTAAATAAATCTTGTAAAAAATTATTTTTCATCAATATTTTTCTTCATGCAATATTGTCTTTAATATATATTATTCATAAAAGCAATTAAAAGCTTCCCTAATTAAATCATCTTAATTTTATCATTCCTGACTGACACTAAGCCTCAAACCTTTCGTCATAAACCTTTCGACCTGAACACCGTTTATTAATTTAGTTTATTTTTACGACTTATCAACCTCAATGGGTTATTTAATGCCGACAAGATTTTTATCGCTGCTAATATTTTTTCCAAAAATGTATTACGGGTAATATTTTTTTTTCATAATTGTTTTGCTGGTGATAATTTCATTTTCAAAAATGTATTGCTGGTAATAATTTTTTCTTCAAAAATTCATTACTGATAATATCTTTACAAAAATGTATGGATGTAATTATAACCTATTTTTACACTTCCATAGAGTTTTGAACCCAGTTTGGAGGTTAACTATTTGCCCAAAACTGGGACCCTAACAGGTCCTACTACCACGGGTCAGGGTAGACCTGGGAACACCATCAATTAAGAGGTGGTTCCACGCTCCTCAAAACCTCCTGATCAGAGGCCTTGCTGTTGGATGTAGTTTATCGTCTTCTACAGGACGCTCGTTTATTAATTTAAACAAATATGTGCATTTCATTTATCTGGCCTTTATTTGCCGCTTTCTGAAAGTTTCCATCAACCCAAGTTGATAGGAATTAATTAGGGATTTAGCAACCACTTCCAGTGCAAAATGATCGTATAATTCCATGGAAGACAGCAAATGGCAGGTAAAGTGGTTTAGGTTGTAAAAAAGATAAAAGCTTCTAGGTGGAGAGTTGTTTAGTTGTTTGAAAGATAAGAGGAAAAAAAACGAACGAAATGCTTTTCAATAAAGTTAATACTAGAAGTAAAAAAAAAAAAGAAGATTTTTACTTAATACAGCGAAGGGCCATTTTTACTCGGAATAAAAAAAATAAATTTGACGATCGCAGAAAAATAACAGAGTCCAAAAATAGCAACAGAATTGACAGGAGACTAAATCAAGGGACAAAAAGTAACTCCAGAACGTGTAGACAAAAATAAGAATAAAAAAAAAATAATTGCAAAAAACATTATTCGGATGCCAATAATTATAATCGAAGGTGACGGTGATGTCGTTGGTTAATGTGACGCGATAAAAACTTTGGCTATTTAAAGTCTGGTATAATATTTAAAGGATAAAAGAACCCAAAGAACTGGTAACTATAGATCTAGTGTAAACTACATTAAAAATAGTAGACATAGGTTCGGTTACCAATAAAAGAAAAAAGGTAGCCATAGCTCCAGTTTAGACTAGAATAAAAGAAAATGTAGACACAGTTTTGGTGTACACGAAAGTTATATAGGCAGATATGTGACCAGCTGACTCTATAATAAAAAGAGTAGACATATGTCTGGTTTATGCTAGAGTAAACAGGTCGACATATATCTGGTTTACACTCGGCTCCATTTTACACTAGACTCAACAAGGTAGACATGTTTGATTTTCACTAGAGTAATGAGGTAGACACATTCCAGTTTACACTAGAACCAACAGGGTAGACATGTCTGATTTGAACTAGAGTAATGAGGTAGACACGGCTCCTGTTTACACTAGAATCAACAAGGTAAACATATGTCTAGTTGACAGTAAATTCAAAAAGGTTGACATAGGTCCGATTTCCACGAGAATAAAAAAAAGCTAGACGTATCTGGTTTATACTAGAGTAAATAGGTACACATTGGCCCAGTTTAAACTATAATAAAAAAAAGGTAGACATAATTTGGTTTACAACTGAATAATAATGTAGGCATTAATCCAGTTTGTACTTGAGTCGAATTGTAGACACAAACTAATATACAAAGTTTTACTGAAGGAAAATTCATACCGTCATCATCTACA